TATGTAATCACAGTAATTAAAAAACATAAATTTGTATCTGTATTAAATAAATTTGAAGATTTGCAAATTATAAATATTTCAGACGAAAATCTCCACAAGTAAATAAACACTATTCTGCATTTAAAAAACAAAGAAATTAATACGGTAACATTTTTAACTGTAATAAATAAAATGAAGATTTCCATTTTCCGCCACTTCTTAGATAAGAAGCAGTGGCCGAAATTTTTGCACGTGACAGGCATCAATATTTCGCGTAAGCTTCAAAATCTACGTAAAACATGTATTGACGCAACATCTAAACGTCAGCGAACAATGAGGACTCAAGCCGCGCATTAAAACAAAACGAAACCATCTCCTCCCACGGTTTTCATCGACAGCAAGAAAAAAATAAAAGGAAAAGGAGAAAAAAAGAAAAATAGAACAAATTTCATCGTAACAATAAAAGGAAGATTCTCTAATCGAGGTGCATTCGGAAGCATAAAATGTTGGGTCAGTCAGAGCGTCCTGTCGGGCTTTTCATCCTAATGCTCTACTCTTTCTTCCTGTTATTCGACAGCTTCGCTAATCCTGGCAAAAAATGTGACATTTTGGAAAATGACGTGACCGCAGATGCATTTTGTCGACGAGTCTAAAGAACTGCAATATTGAAATTTGTGCAAAATTCAGTGTAAAACTTGCACCGAGGAAATTATATTACATAAAAGTGTGAATATTGAAGTGTGAACAGTTCAATTGAAAATTTTCTATGCAAATGACAGACGAGGAAATATAGAAAGGGAATTTAGAATTAGATAAAAGTTGTATTGTAAAATTTGGAAATTTAAAATTAGGTAAATATTACATTCTAAAATTATGAAATTTAAAATTAGATAAAAGGTGTATTATAAAATTGTGAAATTTAAAATTAGATAAAAATGATGAGTTTCAAAATTAGATATAAGTTTATTAGAAAATTATGAAATTTATAGTTAGATAAAAATGATATTCCAAAGTTCCAAAATTTAAAATTAGATACTCCAGAAATATTCAAGGTGGCAATCTTTGCTCCCTTCTTCCGAACAAAAGAAATTTAAGCCCACACATAATTCGCATCCCCTCTGCAACACGAACAACTTCATACCCTGGATTATTCCCATTCAAAGATTTAAAGACTCCAAGTCAAACCAACTTACCAAAATGAAAAAAAAAAAGAAGGAATCTTAAATTTAAGATATTCCAAAGACGTTCAAAGTGCCAATTTTTCCTTCTTCCTTCTCAACTCCCCTGAAATAAATTCAACCTCAGACACAGTAACTTACACCCCCTCTGTAACACGAACAAACTCTCCACCTCACGTTATTCGCATTCAAAGATTTAAAAACTCCAAATGAAAGTAACTTACCAAATCTAAAAAAAAGAAAACAAAGGAAAATTAACACCCATAGCCATTACATCAAATTTCCTCGCGGAATTAGCTTCGTTAAACGGGAAATCGTCGCAGCTTCTCGCCGTGCGCAGCGAATCGTTAGTGTTTCCGCTAATTGATGCTCGATTTCCCACGTAACCAGGCTCGTCAAGCGGTGTCCCTGTTTTCGAAGAACAGGTCGCCAGACTCACGTAGCCGCACTCGTTGTAAGAGAATCGTAGGACGATGTAGAAAGATACGTCGGGGGAAAGGAACAAAAGGGAGTTTGAGCAGCGTAACGTTAAGGAGTATCGGCGAGTGCTAAGCACGCCACTCGGAAGCTGTTAACCACAAAGTGGTTCTGGAATCGTTGATTCTTTCGAGGCTGGGCTCGCGAGAGGTGCATCAGTAATGGGAACAATGGAATCAAGTATGCCGGTTTTCCAGCTAACGAATGGTAAAATGTAATGGAAAAACTAGACAGAGGAGATCGGTGGGATCACGAGTTACGTACCCAAAGCTTCTTCACAAATGCTGGATTTCACAGTGAAATTTCGTGGAAATATTGAAGCCTAAATCTAGGAAAATGAAGAATTTCTTTCGTCTCCTCCTCTTGTATTATACGAACGCGTGCGACTCTGCGACAACACAGACGGATTTAATTAAGATATTTTAATGCTGTTTCGAATAACAGAACGGGTTTCACTTGAGAATAGGGAAATTAACGGGTGAAAAAATGAGAGAGAGAGAGAGAGAAGGGATCAACGGGAGGTGAAAAGAGGGTAATCGTTTCGCAACGGTGAGAACGTTAAGGTAACAGTGATATTTAAAATTGAACGAGAAATTGATCGAGGAAACGTAACCGTACAAATGTTGTAATATTAAACGTTTCGAATGGTATTAACTGGTGAAGCGTTAGATGGTTCAAGTATTACGAACAATTGAATAATACCGAGCACTTTCGTATACAGAAAGAATAAAATATAGCGATGGGGAGTAGAGAATGGGCACAAAACTAAATTGGAGCGCAGTAAAGCATGAAAAATTAATAACAAAAATGCCGCAATTTGCCGCACAGATGCGGCAGTCCTTTATACCGCGAATCCTTTGACGGTGAACCTTTGCAGGTTCGAAGAAAATCGTACTCCTTCTATAATTGAACGGTACTTAACAAATTTCTCCTTTCTTGATTACAATCGAATCGACGAGGCAAAGTCGGACTCCTTGAAATCCAAGGAAATAACGGAGATCTCCGTCACACGTCTCAATTTCTACCAGAAAATATCGGGAGAGTATATTTAAATTTGTGCAAGATTTGTAAAAACTAAATATTTCGAAAATAATAATTTTAAGATTTGCAAAATCCCTCGATCTTCTCGTCTACACATACTTTCCCCCAGAATTCAAGCTTTCCGTGTGTAAGAATTTGTCAACGTTCCCTGGCGATCTGGAGATCCGATGGCTCTTAAAATCCTTAAAACAAAATCCCTCAAAAACAGAGACCATTATCGAGCTTTCGACGTACTACGACCTAGTTTGTTCATCGTATTGCGAACCAAAGGACCCCGGCTCCCGTTGCGAAAGATACTTCTCAAAATTCTGCTAACTCGACCGTACTCCCTTTCCTTTGCACGCAATTTCCCAAACAAGTAGCTCGAACTAACTGGCCGAAAAATGCCAACAATCGTATTTATAATCGTTCACAGAAGACACGAACCACGAATCGGGTAGTTTAGCGGAACGATCTCAATCGAGGGAACAGGCAGAGAAAGAGAGAGACAGAAAAGAGAGTCCAGAGAGGTAGGTCCGGAACAGTTAGAAATCTGGTTGGATCAAGATGAATCAGAGAGAAAGAAAGGGCCTGGTTCGAGGAGGGAATCATTTCTAGATTTGGCCGGCTGCTCTTTCCGTTCCTCGTGCCACGAACGAAGATCAGAGAAGGAGAGGAGAGACGGATGAAGGTGGGCCACGTACCGAAGAAGGGAGCCAAAAGGTAGATAGACACAAAGGAGAATCGGAGCATCGGGGCGTTAAGAGGACTCAGAGAGAAGACGGTATCCTCCCGCATACGGTTCTCTGTTGACTGAAGCGACTTAAGTCAACGCCGCGCGCTCACCTACGGTCTGGCACACTATGTTCTCTCCCCTACGTACGTCACTGGTGGGATAGAGAGGAGGTGACAGAGTGTGCGAGTGCCACACCAGTCGAGAAGGGGAAGTTCGAAGGATGGAGAAGGGAGAAAGACGAGCAAAGAGTAGGATGAGTATCGTCGGGTTGACTTTGGTTGAAGCGAGACGGGTAGACGAAGGGTTCAAGTATAAGGATACCGAGGCATGCGCCGTCCTATCATATTGATCTCGCCATAGTAACGATTCTCTCTTCTCCGGCGATGTTGGCATGCACTATAGCAGCGGGACGAAGAGGGAAACCCGACGAGAGAACGGCGGAAGGGGGTTGTACCGCATGGTATACCATGCTACCCCACGATGCGCGGATGTGGGCCGCTCAGGGGTGAACGAGAACGACGGAGAGGGAAAGGGAATGGGAGAGAGAGGGTGGGATTGATCCAAGAAAGACGGGAACATAGGAGCGGGCCACTGTGGATGGTTGAACAAGGAGGAGAGAGACATTGGTGGCGGTAGGCCACACAGGGCGCTAGCGCCAAAGAGAGCCGAGGCGGCGATACCGCGCGGCGCTGCAGCCAAATGAAAATCAGTCCAGCGTTGGTCGCCGGCGAGGGCGCATCTGACAATCCTGTGACAAGATACGGGAGAGAAACTCGAGGACACTCTGGCGAGACGGTGCAACACATCCGTGATAAGGATCGATCTTGAGGGGGATCAGAAGGATGTTGAACGAGGTAGCGTCACGGTGCTGACAGTCAGACGCGCTCTGAGAATCGGCGGGGATATCGGACAACGGCGCGGGAAACCTCGGAATCGGAAGTCGGTCGAATGAGCTGGTGGCTCGACGAGAAGAGACGCGTCTCTCCGAGCTGTGCAAGTCATTTTCGCGTACACACTTCCCTACTACGCTCTACTCTACCGTCTACGGTGTGCAACCAGTAGTACAGTCTCCTCTGCTAAGGGACGAATACGTGGTAACTAGAAGGAGAAACGTATGTGGTGGACGTAGAAGACGAGAGGGTGAAATCGAGCTCGAGTTTAAAGAGAACGTAGAGAGAGGTACATCAAGTAGGTAAGAGAGGAAGAAGAGAGATGTCCTCGATGCCCAACGATGCCGCAGCAAGGCACAACCGAGCTGGAGCTTAGTGCGTGCGAGGTGTACGCGAAGGGACACGCTGCTGGTCCATCGAGGCTGTCACGTGCCCCTAATAGAGCGAAAACGATGCCATTGCCGTGCTCCGGGCACGTACGTTCAGGTGGACCCTGAGAAGACTGAACACTCGATCGGTCGTTATCATCGCGTGAACGTAACAGATCTAAAAGTGACCTACGGGATCCAGCTGGTTCGTTCCTGTTCGACGCGTTAGCAGCCACGTGCGAGGACAACCGAACAGTGAGGAGGTGGAGGAGGCGGAGAAAAAGCCGGTGGTGGCGGAGGTGGTGGTGATCGAGGAAGGAGCGAGCTGCTCCGATTCCTCAATCGTGCAAACATGACACGTTGGACTCTTATGGCGGCTATAGCCCTGGCTGCATCGGGTGAGTTGTGCTGACAATAGAACAGAGCAAACCCATATATCTTCTTCTACAGCCGAACACTATTTTCATCGTGCTAGGCTCTCGTCCTTAGAGACGATCACACATATTTTTTTTTCTCTCGCGACGCGTACGGTCAAAGACGGGTGCTTTCATATCCAAACAATTTTCTAATCATCCCCATTTTCGTTCTTACTCTTCTCTCGTGAAACCCCCTATTCTTCTCTCTGTCACTATTTCTCTATCTGTCTCTGCAATTCGTCTACTTGCCAGTTCTTTTTATTTTCTTTCCACAACGCTACGTCTCTGGAGAGCGATACAATCTTTAAACGCAACGAGGCAGGTCTCTGTGTTGCGCCAGGTTTTCACCGTGGGGATTCTGCATACACCGGTGGATGACGGTTTTGTTCGGCACCGCGGCCAACTCGAATCCGCGAAAGGGTAGAACGAAGAACACCGGGCCGCGTCGATGAATCTTCGTCGTCGAACGAACGACGTCTGCTGCCGTGGGCAATTTTTTTAACGTTCCCCGATTGAAACGATTCAACCCCGTCAAACAGTTTCACCTGATAACCGGGGCGACGTAACAGGATTGAAACAACAGGCTGATTTATAACACGTTTTTTAATCTTCGCGCGTTCACCAACTTTCGAACGTATTTACGAGTTGCGATAACTCAACGTCAATCGCGGAGACACATCGTACTCCCAATTTCGAAATTTCAATTTCGCGTCCTCCTTCCCGGAGGATCATACGCGATTAATAATTCCGTTTCACCTCGGGTCTCTTCAAGGCCCTCCTCCCCGGTGAAACGCTCGAAAAATTTCGCCTCTCGAAGCGTCGAACGAAGCTCCATAAATTTCCGATCGAACTGTCACTTTAAAGCATCGCCGCCCGCGAACCGGGAGAAACGCCGCGGTTCAACGTTCGACGACCACGTTTCTCCAGCTCGTTATTTTCGCGAGTGTTCAAGACGCGCAGCGATTTTCAAATGAGCCCGGAGGAAGGTGTTGCTTTGCTACGTAACGTGTTGGCACTCTGACGTCACCGGCGACGTTTTCTGCGTGACGCGCGCACACACCGCTGTCGCTCTGCCTTTAAACACCGCCTGGCTGCTGATTCCAACTGGCAGACTGAACGTACACACACTCCGCGCGGAATCACCGCAGTCTAAATATTTGCCTGCCCATCCGGGGATATTTTTGTTAAATTTCGCCTCCCTCCTCCGCGAACGGCGCCGGGGCTCCTTCCATTCACGTGCTTTTCTTCTCCGTGTAACCTCTTCAGCGGACCGGCCCGGAAGCGTTTGTCAACAGAAAAGGAGAACGAGCTTGCTTCGCAATGATACCTTTTTCTCGACGGGACGGAACAATCAGCTTCCGATGCGGCAGATTTTAATTGACGCGATGCCGGACTCCTCACTGTTACCCTCATTCCGTTTCGCGTAACGCTTGATTAATTGGGGCCTCCTCCAACTATCGTCCCTTCCTTCGTCCTTTCTCTCCCCCCTCTCTCTCTTTCTCACACCTTTTTCTGTACAATCGCCGCGGCGTGGGTGTGCAAAGAGGATCCTCTAAGTCACCCACGCGGTTTCCAGAGAGACCTGTCACTGCGTTGCGCGTTTCAATTAGACGAAACTGTCGGGAGGAACTAGGGAGAGACTATTATTCTTGCTTCTTAGCGCGTGGACAGAGTGCATTTGGAACGTTGTCAGGAAACTTTCGAAGATCGAAATTGACCGGTTTCTCACTTATCTCTGAATTTCTTTACTCCGGAATTTTTTTTCTGTTTAATTAGTGTTTTGAGCCGCGTAAATTTTGAGAAATATGATATTCATTTAACGAGTAGTGTTAGATCATTTTTGAAATTCCCGCGGTTTTAAGCCGCGAAATTTTGAGAAATATGAAATTTACAGCCATTTCTTAAAACCGCGGGAATTTTCAGGATGACCTAATGTTACTTGTTAAATGGATAATTATTTTCACCGTGATATTGGATTATTTAGGATATAATAGTGAGATAACGTTATCGAAAGTAAGAAATTTGTAGATTTGTATTCATCGGAGATACGGTCAATCTTGATTTACCGACTTATCTGTAAATTTCCTAACGGGGTTGCAAGTACATTCTGTATACATTACATGCAACGCGTGTACATTGCGTATTCGTACATACATGTGTACGTGTGTATATAGATACGCACGCAATGTGCGTGGGAAACACGAGTTGACAAACTGAATGGTAAGCATATCAATTTCAGGCAATACTTGGCAATCAGAATGTGATCAAAGGATTTTCGTAAATATACCTGTAGGAGATGTAGACTGTGTTAGATTTTGTCTCCTGGACGATGATATTAGGTGTTTTTATTTTTACGATCAGACACGTGCTTGTCTGATGGAAGTAGCTGACGGAAAATTGAACGAGTAAAAATTTGATTTCAGTTTATTTCGAGTATATTTAGGAGCATTTTGTATGCTCATTTGCATTATGTATGAAGGAATTTTTTTGATAAGGAGATTATCTAAATTAGAGAATTTGGCATATTTAAAGTCCAATACCAGGATGGTATAAGATAAAAAGTATTTATTGTTGAATAAAATGAATTAATATAAGAAAATTTGATTTTAGCTATTGTTGTAATTTAATAGATTAATTATTCTAAAGTAATATAACTAACTTTCTTTTATTTCCAACGAAAATTTCTTCAAAAGAAGTTTCTTTCCCCAAATTTTTCTATTCCAAGGGAAACATTAGAATTTTCATCGTTAATATCTCCAATTATGCCACATTCTGCTATAAGCTCATTTCAATTTCAAATTGAAATATACATAATCTAAAAATAATCTAACATTCTTCTCAATATTTCACTGTCAACAACATACATACTCTACATTGCAAACAACGCAGCATCTATCTTTTATCTTCGCCTCAATTTCCCGAAGAGCAACAAGCATTAATTGAATCCAAGGGAATTTTACTTCATTCCCGAAGATACACAGAGACCCTTTACGATGAAATATTAAGCACGGATTAACAAGGCTGTTCGTTCGCTTTGTTACTTCCTCCATCCGTGGTTCTTCGTTTCCTCTCATAAATAACCTGGGTGTACGGGTCGAAGACGTGATCAACGTGTCTTTTATGATCCGTGTAAACGCCGTAAAACACGGGGGCTACGGTGTTTTCCGTTCGCGGTGAACACAGAGTAAACATAAACTTAATAAGAAATCACCTGCCACTTTTCATCCCTTCTGCGTCCGATCGTCGCGAAAATAGGAAGAGAAATTCGCTGGATCGTTTCCTGTAACACACGATCGTGTCCTGTGTGCTATCAGGTGAACGTATCAATTCCAGGCGAAAATATGAGCTGGCCAAGGAGATGCTAAAAACGGTCAGGCAACAATGAAACATAAATTTCGAAACAGTTTTATCGCCGGGCGATTACATAGCGCGTTCCCGTGACGCAAAACCGAGAGGGAACAACAATACGTCCGGAGCAACGATAGGAACGGTGCTACCCGTTCGGCCAACTGTATAAAGGCTGACCCGTAATTTGCACGTTCCATGGAACACGTAAAAATCCATGACCCATTGCACAGTCCCGTATATTCCGTGATCAATTCGCGGACATCTGCTCGTTGCTTTGCAACCCTTAACCCTTCAACTGCGAAAGACGTATATACAGGGTGTATCGTGTAACTTTTCCACCCTGTGTGACTTTTAAAGTATGTGCTTTATATGGAGATTGCAAGGTATCTAGGGATATGATGCTGAAACGGGTTTTTTTAAAATAACCTGTTTGTCACCTACATGACTTTCTTTAAGCTAACCTCAAGCATATAAAAAATTGATAAGAGCACGATGAGTTGCGACACGTTAGAAATATTTCTATAGCACTTTCATTGACAGTTTCAATACCGAACTTTATTGATACACGGTGTATAGGCACATCAATATGTACGAAAGGCGTATGTATACGCGGAGTAATTTTCGCTCGGTATAACACGTTTATTGTTACACTAAAATGATATATTGTTCTGCATAGCAACTGTTGAAATAACCGAATACAGTGAATTATTTCCATTGTTAGGAGTAAGCATTTTTCACAGATAAAATACACGTGCTATGGATTAGCTATCGACATGCAAAAAATCCTGTCGCAGAGAGAGGATAATTCTCTTGTAAAGTGTACTACAGTTAAACCTGGTTAATATTCGTTCGATTATACAGGTGGCTAGTCACACGCTATCTCGTTATACACCTGGATCATGAATTTTCCCATCGCATAAATCATTTATGAATCAAAGATCTGTCGTTTTAGAGTTTCCAAGCAATGTGCACGCCAGGCGACCAGAACGTTAAATACCCAGGTGGCCAGTTGAAGCTCGACGACCATCAGAGCCGATAACCGGTGCTTCAGTGCACTCGGCGTGCTGGTTCCGAGCATCGGCTCGGGACTCCACAGTCGGCGTCCATCGCGACGTCGCGTCACGTGGAGTGCGAAAGAGAGCGAGAACGATACAGAGAGAGACAGGGAGAAATCAGGAGAGACAGGGAAACAGGGAGAGACAAAGAGAGACAGGGGGAGATAGGGAGAGACAATAAGAGATCGGGAGAGATTCGGAGAGACAGTAAGAGGCCGGGAGAGACAGGGAAAGATCGGGAGAACCGAGGAAGGAAACAGGGAGAGACAAAGAGAGACAGGGGGAGATAGGGAGAGACAATAAGAGATCGAGAGAGATTCGGAGAGACAGTAAGAGGCCGGGAGAGACAGGGAAAGATCGGGAGAACCGAGGAAAGGTAGGGAGAGACAGGGAGAGATCGGGAGAACCGAGGAAAGATAGGGAGAGCTCGGGAGAGCCGAGGAAAGATAGGGAGAGACAGGGAGAGATAGGGAGAGACAATAAGAGATCGGGAGAGACAGGGAGAGATTCGGAGAGACAGTAAGAGGCCGGGAGAGACAGGGAAAGATCGGGAGAACCGAGGAAAGATAGGGAGAGACA